AGGCCAGTTCCCTCCACTCAGACCACGTTTTGATCCCATTGGCCCGCTTCCAGGACCTAGCCCCACCTTGCCAGGGCGAGGTGGCCCGAGTGACAGATTTCCCCTAAGGCCCAGCAGGGGTTGGCCACCCAACCGGCTACCATTCATGTGATTGATTCGTAATCTTACTTCTGGAGCTTGTTTGGTTTTTCGTTTTTAAAACCACAGATGTCATCTTGTCAGGGTGCTGATCTCTAGTGTTTACTGATTGTGATGCTGAGGAATGCACTCCCTGTGGCCTTTCGGTAGATACTTAAAGCTCCAGGGGAGGTGGGGCCCACAGGGTCCTGTAGTACCGGGTTAGCCTTGGAAATAATTGCCTCCTGACCTCCCCCCTCTGAGTTCTCCTCTTGAGTGAAGGTTGTTCACTGATAAATGTTCTGCACCAGATTAAAAAAAAATTAAGTATAGATCACATGGCAGTCTTAATTTTTATTACAGAAAGAGAATAAATACTCAGAACAGCTTCACAACATTACTTGGAGGTTTCAGAGTGATCAGAGAACCCATTCAGTGCCATCATATTGTGGCAGGCGATTTTGTAAAAACTGTTTTTTCAGGGGCACCTTCTCTTCAAACAAAATCATTCGCAGAAGCCTGATTTATAAAATGAATAAAAGCCAAGCTAGCTTGGTTGAACTGGACTTGGGGTGGGTGCTTTGGACACCCACCTGCTCCGTCCACCTCCTCTCTGCAGAGCTTTCTCAGCTTCTCTGGTGGGACTTCTGGGCTCTGCAGCAGCATTGCTTGACAACTGTTGGGTTCTAGGGACTCTGTTTCTGGCTTCTGGAGTGGAGTTACGATTTTTTTTCCTTGTGTTTGGAACACTTGGTGCCTGATTTGTAATCTGAACAGGTGACAGCTTTTAACATCCGTTTCACTGCTTTGAGTGCTGGTCAAATACTTGTTTTCAAAGACAGCGTCTTATTCTTGGAAGAACATTTTGCTTTTAAGATTTAAAATGCACAAAATTCAGGATTTATTCATCTTACAAGAAAAAGGCCAAACACACATGTCTTACCGTACAACTATACAAACATGCTATAGTGACAAATGAAAATCTGAATCACAACACAGAAATAAAACCCTATTAGTATTTGCGGACAATATTTAGGAATATTGTCAATGTCTTCCTGCTTTTTAAAAAATCTGTTTTGCATATAAGGAAATGGCTTGGAATGTTCTATGCCGCAAGAATATTTTGAGTCCTACATACATGTGAAAATATTTTTTTTTTTTTTGCTACACATATAGTCTTTATTCCCATCACAGTGAAGAAAATTCAGTCAATAGGATTTTCTGGAGGCCACGCCGCCTGTAGTAGCTTAATGTACATAGGCAAAGGATTGGGGCTTTGACATTTCTTTCTGTGGTATTTTGTGATAGCTGAGCTATAGGACAGCTTTTCAAAAAAACAAGTGTCCACTAGATGCAGTGTGGCTCTAATTGGGTCTGGGCTGAAGAATTACCTGAAGCTTTGGTGGGTCCAAGTACACCCTCCTCTATCTCTACACTTTTCCGTGGGCGTCTGTGGTGTTAGGCTGCAGTGCATGTGTGTGCGTGTGTGTGTGTGCGCACGCGCATGTGTAGTGGGAGAACATAGTGATGACCAGAAGCACCAAATACTATAAAACAATGAGTTTGCAAAATGCAGTCGTTTTTGAAGGGCCCTCGAGAGGTCCACGAATGGTGCTGGTGTCCCGTGGCTGCAGGGGCTCCTCCCTCCAACACACCTCCGGCTTCCGGGCCAGCGTGACACATGTCTTAGGGGAGCATATTGGCGGTGTGCCCTATGCCTGGATTTGCAGTCCTCGAACGGCAGTTTGTTCTAAATCCTTAAACCAGCCTCAAAGCTTTTCCTCTTGAATAGCTAAATTTATAGTTTAGAAGCTTGTAAACTACATGCTTTTCATTCGGCTGAAACTGTGGAGCCCTGTGTATTGCTGGTGGGTCATGAGGGTGAGATCACTGTTTGGCGGCGGCATGCGCACTGTGTGACCTTCTGACATCACTTCGATCCTACTGGGCCGGAGGCGGGATAGCGTCTAGCGCCACTGGAAGCGTTGCGGTAAGATGGTTCTTCGGTGGCTTGGAGCCTTAACGACTTTCTGTGGCACCGTATTTTCCTCCTACTGTTAATTTTACTAACAGGAGCTCACTCTCTCTATCCCCCTTCTCTCTCTCTCTTCTCTTTTAAACTTAGTTTTATTGTTTTTTAAGTATTTATCAATTTGAGAGAGAGAGCACAGGCAGGTGGAGGGACAGAGGGGGAGGGAGAAGCAGGCTGAGCAGGGAGCCCAACATGGGACTCTATCCCAGGACTCCAGGATCACGACCTGAGCTGAAGGCAGACACTTAACTAACTGAGCCACCCAGGAGCGCCCCCTCCCCTTCTCTTTATAAATGGAAGATATGGTTTGGCATGGCTGGACAGCAAATCATGGGAGGTATCCTTTCCCTCTGATGGAAGGTTTTGTGGTTCCCTCTGTAAAAATGGTTAATTTTGTCCTCTCACTCTTGGTGCTCCAGGTTCTGAGATCACTGCTTAGCCTCAGATCTCCGTAATTCTTATTTTGAAGGAGCCCGACTCTCTGCCCTTTGCTCCCTGGGCTCGGGACGGGTGCCAGGACTTTCCTTTCTCCTTCTCTGGGCGGTGGCTGCCAAGTGCTAACTTGCTTCTGCCCGAGACTCAGCGGAAGACCGCAGGTAGCAGATGCTGACACTGTGAGAGTTTGGAAATGGGAACCACAAGTGGGAAGACCGAGTAATTGGAACACAAACCATGGAAGGCAAGGGGGAATTTAAAGGATTCACACATGTGCATTGTAGAAGGAACATTTCATTTTTGATTGGTTTTCCCTTAAAGGAATGCTGCCCTGATTTCAGAAATCACGTCCTGGCCATTCTCCTCTTCCTCTCAGCTGGCCGCTCGAGAGAGCTCTCAGCCCAGCATCTAAGAGTCCTGATCTCATCCATTTTGTCTATTTTGTCATCTATTTTGTGCAGACACACAGGGGAGCCTCTGCGCCCTTTCTGCATTCTGTTTGGTTAATGGACCGATCTGACTTGCTTGTTGCCCAAACTTCCAATTCATCTCCAACCAAACCCCAAATGCTTTCTCTTAGAGTCCAAATATTACACTGAACCTCGGAATTTTATCACTGACTGTGTGGGAGTCGGGGACAGTTTCTGACCCTTGTCAGTGGGGTTAGTAACCAGCCGGTGTGCTCTCCAGGATGAAGAAAGCGCGTGATACAAGGAAAATGCACTTAGGCTCTGAGCTAGTCCTCCAGCTGATTCCGCGGCTGTTGCCTCCACCTGCCTGACTTAACCGGCTTCAGCTCTGACTCTGACCCGTGTCCTCTCACCTGTGCTAAACACGTAAAGCAGAACGAGCCCCCGACCTGTCCCATGACGCCGAGTGAAACACGAGGGGTCTGCTCCCTGGTGCTGGGAGGGGCGGGCTCCAAAGGGACCCACTGTGCCTGTGAGAGGCCTGGAGCTGGGGGAGCCCGGCTGTCTGCGAGGCTTTGCTGGGCTCTGATGTGATGCATGGTCTGCACGGGGCCGCTCAGTCTTGGTCTCTGCTGTACGAGCCATCGTATTGTCCTGGTCCACTCGCCACGGCCTCTTCTGACTGTGCCGATGCACAGTTGGCTGGCCCCGGTACCCCTGTGGCCACCCCTGCCCCCCTGGCCACGTGCCCCATGGGGGAGGCCTCCTGGCCCCCTGATTCTGCTCCCATTCCTTTTCAGACTGATTCTTTTCCTGGGCAAGTGACTTCCTTGCACGGAAGCTCTTCTGAAGACAGCCTTTTTCTCCAATCTTCACACTTTGTGTACGTTTTACTAGTACCTAAAATATGTCCTGGATACCTGTGCGCCAAGCAGTGTGCCCCGTGCTTGACTCACATAGCTGCTCCTCAAGCTGCCTTTGCCAGCTTGATTTCCCCAGGGCTCCTTCCACCGAAGACTCCAAGGGAATGTCAGGAGGCGGCTCCCCGGGCTTTGCTACGGTGTTTGTGACCGTGTGAGTGAGGGCCCGTCCTCCCTGCCTCCTCCGCAGGCATGATCGTTTGGAGGGAGTGCAGTGATGGTGAGGAGAACCCCGGGAGGTAATGGAAGAGAGAGGGTGTGTACATTCAGTATCCCTGGAAAGCCGACTTTACACCTAAGCCACAGAACCATCTCACCATGGCCACAGGAGGAAGACCATGGTATTTTCTCGTGCTGGCGACAGTGTCCCCTGAGGCTACCTTCTTCAAACCCCATTGTGTGTCACTTTAGCACAAACCAAAGGGCTCTTCCTCAAGTTTCAGCCTCATTAAGTCAGCCTGGAGGGACAATGCTAGGCCTCCCTTGTGTCGAAAGCAAAACAACATATAACCTTTCAGAACCTCCAGAGTGACTCCCTTCCTCACTTCCTTTTGTCCTTTCCCATTCCAAAATGTCACAGCTATGAAAGGTGAAGAGTTTGGAAGGGACATGTGCTAGCCCATGTGAGCAAACAGCCCGTTTTGGGGCTCCGTGCTCTTGCCAAGACCACTCTTGGTCTCAGTGCTCAAATTTTCCAGTGGAAAATTGCTTCCAATGTGCTGGCTGTGGTGTTATTGTCACAGATCACGTGTGCACGGTTCTAGAAATCGGGATGCCTGGCCGGATGAGAAAAGTGTGTGGTACTGTGGCTGGAGTATCTGGGAGCTCGAGCTTGAAAGTTGAGATGTTTTTAGGGAAGGGACAGATTATAGGGAAGTGGGAACATTTCAGCCAGGCAATCCTGTTCATGGAACCAGGGGTTCGGCTCACCAGAGGACCGGGTCCCTGGGTGTACAGCATCCCTACCAGTGCTGCTCTTGCCGCGTGGCCTTCCCACGCCGCTCAGCAGGGGCTGCTGGGCTGACTTCAGTATGCACTAAAGTATGCGCGCGAACTATGCAGGGAGACTGACCAACATACGGGTCTGGGCCTTATGACCAGAAATCCTGACTCCTTTGGTCTGAAATGAAGCTAGCTGCGCCCACACTTCAAGAAACTTTGTCTGGCCTATGACCCCTCTGTTGTGTGTTTTGGGTTGCATTTGATTAATTACTAAGTGAGAATCAAGTGAGGTTGACTTTTTCAGATCTGAATCTCCCATGCAAGTGAGTGATGATTGCCTCGGGTGTTTTCTGTGTTCCTGATCTTCCAATCATGTGGGCTTGGTGGCGGTGGTACACCCTGTCCTACAAGCTTCCTCTCCTCTAGAATGTAGCTCCAGGCCAAGGAAAAGTTCAGTGTCACCTCCCTCTCTCTTTCTCTGTCAACAGGGAGGGGAAGACATGTCTCAAGTCACAAAGTAGGCTGTAAGGGGAGAGCGCGGTGACTATGTTCTAACGTCCTGGGCTCTTTTCAAGCCCAGGAGGCTGGTTCTGGCACCTGCAATGTTTATAGCACCGGGTGCGTGGTAACTGGGGGCAGCCCTCCCGTCTGATTACGGGAGGCAGTCTGATGTAGGGAAAGAGCTTTGGGAAAGGAGTCGGGACCTTTGCCAGTTCTGCAGGGAACTGGTATTGTCAGATAAGTTTGGGTTAAGCAAGGTAAAAGCTCATTTCTTTACTGCAGGAGGCCGGAGGGCCTTTGACATGTAATGTGTACTACCAACCTCAAAACAAGAAATAGAAACAGTGTTTCCTAAACATATTTGACCATGGGACCCTTTTATAACTGAGTAACCTACCGGGCCTTGCTGGCAACAGCCCCGGACATGCCAGCCTCAAAGTTGCTGTCACAGCCCTTTCTCAGCCTGAGCCACTGATTCGCGGACTCTCTCTGGCTCGTCCTCTATCTTGGAGGAGGGGACAGCGTTCCTGGCGGGAATTCAGAGTTACTCGTGGTGTAACACAGAATGGCTTGGAGGAGCCCTAAGCTGACTCCCACCTTGGGAAGTTGAAGGCATTTTCCTCCTCTTGGAACTAGAGATGATTCATCAAAGAACCTGTGGTCTGCTCTTGGCTGTCCAATCTGGGCGTGAGCAGCTCTTCAAGACTTCCCCTCCATTTCTGTTGTGTTCTGGAAGGCCCCACTTGTCACACAGGATCTGATTTCTTTCCACGGTTCTCTAGATCCCACCGGTGGCCACGTGGGATGGGGTTCAGCCTGGCTGGTCTGAGGGGTGATCTTGAGCCTGGATGGAGTTAGCATGGCTAGGTAGTAGGTGCCCCTGGCTGGGCTTTTCTCCTTCTGTTTGCAAAACACTGTCAGAGGATTATTGCCTCCAATGTCACTGAGGTCCCAGTGCCTGCACCTGATGGAAGGCGGGCCAGGCCTAGAGGGGGCCTTTGCCTGAAGGCAAGCAAAACACTAACAAGAAATGGGAAAACTAGCCACACACAGACATTTCACTTGGTTATCTGAGGCAGGGGAGCAAGCATGTGGGTGGGCAGGGTGATGTGATGCCTTTAGGGCCTGATCTGAGGAACCTGGAGGCTCTCAAAGGCCCACTACTGAGTTGGCTGACGCTGGAATGTCATGGTAAAGGGAGGGGGAACACGTATACATACTCAGTTCCTGGGTCAAAGGCATTTAGAGAGTATATTCTCAGTCCCTCCATTCTGTTCCCATCGGGAACCAAGGCTGAGAAGGAAGGTGAGACAGGAGAAGGGCGGGTGGAACGGAGCACTCCCCTGTCCCAGCCCTGGCTGGGTTAGTCAGAGAACAGGCTGGCAAAGGACTTCCTCAGGTTGCGGATGGTTTCAGCCTTGGCCTCGTCTTCACTTGGGGTCCCGCGCTGGGAAGCATCAGATGTGCTGAGGCTGTTAGTCAGGGACTGGGATTTGCTGAAACAGAAAGGTGAGGGGGGTTGGGGGCGACCGGGCCTGGGACACCAGTCACTGCGGCTTGCCTGGAAGCCGGCTGGGTGAACCCAGTCATCACGAGGATGTGATGACCGGAAACCAGGCATCCCAACGCTTACGTGATGCTAAATGCATGACACACAGCCTTTCACCTGTACAGTGGTGATTGGTGCAGAAATCGGGGCTCACATCAGGTAACTGGGGAGCACCCAAGGCTGACGTTCTGCCCACTAAGCCAGGCTGCTCAGAGGGCAGGCGTTCCCAGCCGGCACCTCCGTGCACAGACCTGTTGGCCAACTGTGAATTTTCTGGATCAGCATCAGACTGTGGTGGCTCCTCCTGCCCTTCCTCACACTAGTCTGGGAATCAGGAAGCCCGTGTCCTGGACCCCGCTCTGCCATCTGCCCCCTCGGCCTCACCAAGTGACCTGCAGCTCAGGGCCTCCTTCGATGAAAAGGACATCGATGAAAAGGAGGGCCAGTCGAGCTCACCCCTGGGCTGCTTCTCTCCCACTCGGGGCTTCAGTTCCCACCTTTTCCCTGAAGCCTTTACTACTGATTTTGGCCTGCCTCGGGATTCTCAGGGTGCCCACTGTTTGAGCCTTGGTGCCAGCCTAAGTCTTGGTGACGGGGCCATGGAGATGGATGTAACTGGGGCCTTGCTCTCAGGAGGCCCACCCTCTGGTGGGGTGACACACATAAGAGCTGCTGTAAAAAGGCCAAAGTGTGAGAAAGTTCCACACAGTCTTGTCATCACCATAAAACCCCAATCCTCTCCTAAATGGGGACCATCTTGTACCCCTTGCTTATCCTGCAAGGGCCTCGTCCAGAACTAGGTGCAGACTGGGGAACTGGCAAATACTCGCCAACTTGAACTGAAACAAATAAGCAGTAAATCAGGAGTTTCAGTATTTTTAGCTGGATTGCTATAGGGTCGGTACTTACTATCCCCAATTCCAAAGCCCCCGCCTGTCCTGGGATGGGCTGAGTGGAGAAAGGCTGTCTTAGATACATCTATAAATTGCCAGACGCATTCTAAGCACTAACTGTGTATAAGCTCATTTTAATCTTCGTAATAACCCTGTGGGGTAAGTACTGTTGTCCCCATCGTGCGTGTGAGGAAGTAGAAGCACAGAGAGGTTGAGCCATGTTTCTGAGGTCACACAGCTTTCGCAGGGGGAGAGCTGGCATTCGAAACCAGGTGGTCTGACTCTGGAGTCTGAGCTTTCAACCACGGGCCATAATTCCTAGGGGACCTCTTGCTAATACCCATCAAATTCAGAATGCCTTTCTCCTTGGATCCAGCAACAGCCTTGCTGGCATCTTCTCTACGGCTGATCCTGCATATGTGAGAAGCAGTGCGTGTGCAAGGTTATTCCCTGTAGCCTTCTCCGCAAGAGCAAACCAAATTTCTGTTTGCGGTGGAAGGGTTAGACTGTAATTCAGCTCTACAGAGGAATAACGTATGACAGCTGTGAAAAGGAAGCATTTTCAGTGAACTGATGGATGAACTTTAGGGTTTAATGTTAAACGTGAAAAGCAAGGAGGCTGGGGTGGATAGGAAGCACTACCATTTGGAAAAAGTGGGGATGGGAACCAACATGTATTTTTGTGTTTGTGCGAGGAAACACGGGAGGGGCACACAGGGAGCTAAGAACAGCGGTCACCTCTGGGGAGCAGAGGGCAGAAGGTTCTGGATGGGAATGAGGTGGGAGGAAAGTGTTTCATTGTGTACCTTTGCTATTGTTGATATCTTTTAGATCTCTGAGCCACGAGAATGGATGACCCATTCAAACACATTATGGTTAGCCCAATCCGCGGACTGGTCCTGTGCTCAATCCTGTCTCTTCCGCTCTCCAACAGTGGGAACTCTGGCAAGTTATTCATCTCCTCATTCGTAAAATGTGGATAATAACAGTTACTAACTACTAAGCTGTGAGAATTGACGAAAAACCTCAGGTGAAGTACTTGGCATGCGGTAAGTGGGCAAGGGCTGCTGGGAGTGAGGCTATGCTTATCGACATCAGTGCTTGGCACTGAAGGAAGGGAGGGGCTTTCACAAGAAAAACACATCTGGGACCTTTCTGACCTCAAACCGAGGGAGAGGCTTGAGAGGAAAGGGGACACGTATGTGTGTCATGATGAGTTGTTTACAAACATGGCATGACAGCCACAGTTCCCCCCCATGCCTGGGGTCTAGCCTTTCCCAGTGTGGCTTTGCAGGCCCTCCTACTGAGGGTCTCTTTGGCCATGTGAGTTGCTTTGACCAAAAGCATGTAGTGGGATGAAATGACCTTGTGTGCCTTCAAAGCTGGGCCTCCAGAGGCCTTGAAGCTTCTACTTGTGCTCTGTGGGGATGGAATTCTACCATGTGAGGAGGTGGGACCCAGCCTTCTGGAGGTTGTGGCCCATGAAAGAGAGAGAGAGAGGCCCAGCTGACAGCAGATGTGTGTGTAAGGCCCTCTTGGACCATCCAGCCCCAGTGAAGACACCAGATGACCGCAGCCATATCAATGATCCCAGGGGAGTAGGGCTGCTAGATTTAGTACACAAAAACACAGGATACCCAGTTAAATCTGAATTTCAGATGAAGAACATACTTTTTGAGTATAAGTATAGCCCATGCAATTTTGAGGATATACTTATACTCAAAATTATTCATCACTTGTCTGAAATGCAACTCTAACTGGGCATCCTGTATTTTATCTGGCAACTCTGTAGGAGAGACGAGGAGAAGAACCTCCCAGTTGAGTCAAACTCAGCATAAACTGCTGAAACAAAAAATTACGAATACAGAAAATGGCTGTTTTCTTAAGCTACTCTTTCAGGGAGGTTTGTCATGCAGCAAGAGAGAACTGGTGTGTGTGTGTGTGTGTGTGTGTATCTGGAGGATGGCCATGGGAACTATGCTGTACTCTGACCTCCTGAGCCCTGCCGGCCATCCAAGTTCCATCCTCTAGGCTTTGGACCATTTAAAATCTGGGTGAGGCCCTCTGTCTTCGAGTCCCAGTCCTGAGTCAGCCCAGCTCTGCCCCCAGCCCAGCTCCACCCTTGACCCTACCCAATCCCAGAGCACTTACTTGAGATGAGGATGAGGTGGTGCTGGCTTCTTGGACTCTTCGCCCTGTTGGGAGACGCTTCGGCCTTGAACAGGGGGGCGGGGCTGGGAGGTGAGGGGGGCGCCTGGCTTGGAGGCCTGGTTTGGAGACGTGCCACTGGAAGCCCGGGACAGCTGCGGAGAGCCTGGTGATCTCTGCTGCTGTGGAGATCCGGATGGGGGGCTCAGGGGCTGCTGGCCTTGCGGGGAGAGCCGCTGCTGGGACGGGCTTCCGGATCGCACGGGCTGCTGGGTCGGAGTTTGGCGAGGGCCCCCTACAGGGGGAAAGATGATGATGGTCAAGTTTTTAAGATAAACCTGGTTGCTTCAAGGATGTCCATTACAGTTTTTTATAACAGTGAAAAGCTGAAAACAATATAAATGCCCAATTGCGCAACTGATCGACATTAAGATACATCTGTATAATGGAATATGCTGTGGCCACTATATATTGTGGCAGAATCATAGTAAATGACAGAACGTTGTTGATAATATGTGCTGAATATATACCACGGAACAAAAAGGCAGCTTACAAAATAGCATGTACAGGCTTATTCCATTTTAGCACACATGTATGGATGTAGCTCCATAAAACATGAAGACTGGAAAGTTGTCCCCTCAAATCAGTGTGTCTCTAATTTTAATGTGCACACGAATCACTGGGGGATCTTGTCAAAATGAAGATTCTGATATAGTAGGTATGGGAGGGAGAGTGTTGTGGACTGAACCGTGCCCCACCCCCCCCATTCACACTTTGAAGTCCTCACCCTCAAGGTGAGTGTATTTGGAGATAGGGCTTTAAAGGAACAAATTATTGTTAAATGATGTCATAAGGGTGGGGCCCTAATCCAATAGGACTGGCATCCTTAGAAGAGAGAGAGACACACACACACAGGCCGAGGGCTACACGTGGAAAGGCCATGTGAAGACACAGTAAGAAGGTGCTGTGCACAAGCCATGGAGAGAACAGCCTGTTGGCCTTCAGCCCTGTTGGCACCTTGACTTTGGACTTCAGCCTCCAGAACGGAGAGAGGATAAATATCTTTTGTTGAAGCCACTCCGTCTATGGCATTTTTTTATGGAGGCCCACGCAGACCGCTACGGGCGGGCTCTGGGGTTCTGCGTCTCTGACAAGCTCCCAGGTGATCCTTCTGCTCTCCACGCTTTGAGTAAGAGGCATGGCTCAATGATTATGAAAGTGGTGGGGTTAATTCTCTTCCTTTTGCTCACTGATGTTTTCCACACTGAAGATGTATTGGTTTTGAGACAATGGATTATCCCTTACTTTCCAGTAGCTCTTTAAACTTTTCTAAGAACTTTCAAAGACATATATATCATTTGATCTAGGGAGGGGCTGGTAGGGAAGACGCCATCCTTCTCAAGGAGAGATGCACACTGAGCGTCCCCAAGGTCTCCCAGATAGTAGGGGTAGCCGTAGGAAGCTCATGGGGTCTTGGCTTCTCCCTCTCGCTGCAAAGAGCCTTCATGGACAAGCAAAGGGGCATCGTAAGCTTGGGGACATTTTAGCCACCCAGAAATGACTTCCAAGTGGAACTCCAAGGCCCCAGGCACGCAAGGTGCTCTCTCCTCACTTTGGAAGCCTGAGAGTATCGGGGATCCTGATTGTGAATTGCATCTTGCCCAAGCAGACGGTGCCCTGCTCCTGGGAGAGTGGGCAGCACCATGGTTGTCTTCGTCTGGCTTTGTTGAGATAACTTCAGACAGGTGAGGAGACGGGGAGTTGAAAGGGACTGGGGCCCGTCTCTGGGGCCTTTTCATAATACGACCTCCGCTCATCTGCCCTCCCCTGGTCTTACTGAACACACTATACCCCGAACTTAGGGCTTGGCAGCCGGGCAGCAGGCATGATCCCCACAAATGTGTCCCCATTTTTCAAAGAGGCTGAGCCCCAGATATACTGTGACTTGCTCAAGCTGTCACTTCTAATCAGAGAGCCAAGATTCAAGCTTAGCTCTCTTTGACCCAAAAGCTCTGTTTCCTGTTCTTTTTTTCCTTAAAAACAACAACAACAACAACAACAACAACAACAACAACAACAACAACAAAACCCCCAAACCCCACAAACTATGCCACGCAGGGCTGCCCTCAGTCCTCACATCTTTGTGCAAATGAAGAAAAGGTGCTATGCTCCAGGGGTGGCCCCTCTGAGTCAGGTGCAGGAGGGGCTGCCCCCCTCCCCCATGTCATCCCAGCCGGCACCTTTGCAGAGGGCACCCCTGCATGTCTGGTGGCTGTTGCACCACACTGGTGGCACCAGGAGCCTGGGGTCTTAACTCCACTGTTGCTTTAACTTGCTATGGCGCCATGAGTAAGTCCCTTTTCTCTGGATTTCTGGGTTCTCTGGGTTTCTGGGCCCTCATCTGTAAAATGAGGCCCTCAGAGCAGCCACTCGACAGCCCCACCCCCCGCCTCACCCCCGCCCACGAACGTTCTTGGGAGCCCGGGCAGCACCTCAGACACTGGACTGAACGGCAGCAAAGAGGAAGCAACTGGCCGCACATGGCCTTGATTTGCTGTGCACCCACCTTTGTCACCATCTGTCCCAGGGGCTCGGAGGGCCCCAGAAATCTCAAACCAAACAGCTCAATAAATGAAGCAGGCAAATATCCAAAAACCTCATGGCAGCCCGAGCAGATTGCTACTTTAAATTTTTAAAAACATTTTCCCCTTGAGATACAAACATAGGTCGGAAGATGAAAGCTAAAGGAAATAAGGATCGACACTACAGACATGGCTGTGAAGGTGACAATAGGGAAGAGCGGAGCTTGAGGCAAACGGCGGAGTCCTGCTGTCCCAGGGAGCCCGTGGGATCCACTGTGGGGACACTGTCTGAGGAGGAACCTAGGCCCCTGGCTTCCAGAGCTTCTGCTCTATCCAGAGAACCTGAAATCCAGAGATTTGTGCCAAAGTTCCTGATTTCTAAATGCTGGCTTACTCTCGTGTGTTTTAAACCCACTTCCGGTCAAAGGAAACCTCTGTTTTCTACTTTTATCTCAAGTCGTCCCGTCCTCACCCCTATCCCAGGGCCAATAATATCTTGGAAAAACCTGAATCCTCATTCATTCATTTATTTATTAACTATTTGTCGAATCCCACTTAGATACCTGGGCTTCCTCAAGAGACACTCATTTCTTTCAGCATCTTGGCAAAGCAAACAATTTAGTATTTTTAATTTCAGCACATACAAAAACCCATTAACTTATATATAGAAAGTATTTGCCCAAGCACAGGATTGGTGCTAAAAAATTATGAGGTTCTCTAAAAGAAAACTTCAGTTTTTACGATGAGTTCAAACAAACAAGTTAATAATGTGATCCTGTTATTTTGGGAACTCAGTGAAAGCATTGTTTTTTAATTAGCCTTGTTATTTTTAATCTGAATGTTAATTCAATGAGCATTGCTTTAATTATCTTAATTGGTTTTTAATTGATTGTTTTTCAACTCACTAAAAGTGTGTTTAGCCCCATGTCCCTTAAAATAATATCTCTTTATCAAGCATGTCTGTACTCTGGGCGGGAGAGGAAACCAGAATACAGTAGCCCTCTGTTTTAAAAGTGCTCTGTTCAAATGTGTTTTAAAAAGTAAGTCCTGGGGCAGAGCGGGGAAGAAGAGGGCAGGGCGGAGGCACAGCCAGGAGCCTGGCAGGGGGATGAATAAATTATTTTTGAACATTTATAATGATGGAATTACCGCTAGGCAGGAGGGGAGTGGGGCTGCTTTCCTTCTAAGGGTGGTTAACGGTAGTGATCATTAAGAACAACACGGATAGTTTAACTGTTAATAAGACACACATTGTTGATTGTAAGTGTTACATGGTGAGAGTTATACAGCTAGTTATTCCTAGTAAACTAACCTAACACCAGCTGGGCCTTACCCCCGCCCTGGGCACCTTGCTAGCTGCTTCGGCTGCACTGCCAGTGGACAGCTCCCCATAACCCCCCAGGGCAGCGGTTATACCGCTGGGGAGACCAAGGCTCAGAGAAACGACGTGACTTTCCTAAGGCTTAAGGGTACTGAGATGCAGAGGAGGATTCAAAACCACATCTATCTGCCTCAGGAAGAATCCCGACGTCCAAATGCATGGTGATAGAAGTTATGCAATTTCCCTTTTCTTAATTACTTTCTGCTTTTCTGAGAAGAGACACAGACACAGGAAACATGGACGGGGCACTTTATCTATTTAATGTCTATGTCTATAAAGCTATTTAATGTCCAAGGCTGATATTTTCCAAGAAACAATGAGTATGTTACTTTAATCAAAGCGACTGGAAAGGCCACAACGTGGGAGTAAGTCTTTTCCTTTCTGATAGGTTCTAAGCTGGCCCTGGAGCAGTGAGTGAGCCTGGAAGGTTCTGGCTGTGAGGGAGGCGGCGGGGCCTGTGTGTCCCCCCAGGTCTGTGCAGGAGAACACCCAGGCGGTGACATTCCGTGAGAAAGTTATTTATTGCTCGGCTACATCCTATCATCACTAGCGGATCGTTCTCTACTAAGTGGTGGCATTTACACAGTAATGCTGGCATAGTTTTTGAGGGAGAATTTCCATCAACAAAGTCATATATAATGTTCCGTGTTTCTTTCTCTTCCACTCTGGCTGCTTGTCTCATAAATCTACAATCAGGCACCACCAGTGGGTAAGAAACAGACACTTCCTCAAAGATCTGAAAAGCCAGACCTATAAACCTGCATTTTCTCACTGTGCTCCTTTGGGCAGAGCCTCCACGTCCACCTCTGGAATAAAGAGGATACTGATGTTTTCACTGGGGAGTGCTTGGGAGACAAAGAAGAAAAAAAAAGGTGGGGGGGATAGATGAGAAAGTCCCTCACTGGGGGACTAGCACAGCTGAGTACTCAGCAAATTCCCCTGTCTCCCTGTCCTTCCTGTCTGAGTTGAAGGGGGTGACAGACATCACAGGCTCGTTCGTCCCGCACACAGAGGGAGTGCCCATATTCTGTGGACACAGTATTAAGATGGATTTTTCCAGAGTGCCTTCTGGAGACCATACATGGACCCCTCAGGGCGTTTCAACATCCCTGTATAATCTTCCTTGGTGAGGCTTGTTGTGGCTCCCTTGTTGTGGCTCTTACCTTGTGTAGGTGGCCGTGGCTGGGGCTGTCCAAGCAGAGGTCCCATGTGGGCCGGCCCGGGGGATTTTGCTGGTTTGGACTGTGGAGCCTAGAGCAGGAGAAGAAAGAAGCCTGCTGCGATTGCCACAGTCCTCTGCTTCCAGGGTGGGAGGGCAGGACTTACAAAGATCTTGTTATCACTGAGGTAAAACTTCCGCAAGGCGCACGATTCTTAAGAGTGCACCATCATGACTTTTTACGTGTGCATACATCTGTGTGGCCACCACCGGGATCCGGACAGAACATTCCAGTGGAGAAGGCTGCCCCACACACCTTCCCAGCCAGCAACCCCCTCAGGTATAACCACCATTCCGACAGCTATCATCATAGATCTGCTTTTGTGGGGGGCAGCGGGGAGTAGGTTTTGAGACTTGCTTTTCCAGAAAACTGAGAGCTAGCAGATTCTTTGGAGAACGATCTGGTAATCTGCGGTGAGGACCGTGGAAGGGAGCTGTGTGGGAGCTTGTTGAGGTTGGGGGATGGAGAGACAGAAGACACAGTAATCTCTATTGACTGTTGTCCTGGGAACACACAAAGGGCATGTGTGTACACAGGCCCACGCATGCATGCACACAACAACACACACGCCCACACGCACCCGCCGCTCCCTGCTCAGGCCCCGGATGGAGGGCACAGAAGGGACAACCGACTTCTTACATTAATAATCTCTGCCTGCAGGTGCAGTCAAGGCAACGTTTCTCTGCCTGTGACGGTGGAAGGAGGAAGGTCTCAGAGCCTCCGAAACTCCCCTGCGGGTGCTGGGGTGCAAACTTGCATGCCCAGCCTCCATCCACACCCGACTCCTTTCTCCCCAGGCTGGTTCCATTCTAGAACTATCTCCTTTGGATCCAGGGACTCACCAGTCCCAGACAGCCCAGCATTTCTCACAGGTACAAAGTCTCCTGTGCTCCTGAGAACCTTACCCAAGGCCTCAGGGGTGAGGGCACTGTGCCACCCGGTATCAGGAGTTGGCTCATTTTGGAGATAACGAGGTCAGCCATCAGCTGTCTGTCCTCTTCCACGTGCTCTCCAATCAAGGGCATTGAGCTGTCCATCACCTGTGGGAGAGAAAGGAGGCCTGAGGGAACCCCATGCCAGGGTAGCCGGGCAGCCTGGAAAGCAGTGCGTGTCCCTGGAGGGCTGGCTCAGGGCTCGGGACAGAAGCGGCCACTAGATGGTGATGTTCTCCCGGCAAACACCTCGCCCAGCGCCTCCAGCTGGGAATGGTTCCCACAGAGACACCCAGATCCCCGCAGTTCCGTGGAACCAGCTCTCAGGATTCGGTTCGATTCAGCCTACATTTGTTGGGCTACAGAAATGTGACCAAGGGTCAGGAAGCCTTTGCTGACCTTTTCTGCTCTTTTCTTTGGGGAGCCAGTCTCTGCCCCCTCCTTTCCCACCTTGGCTCCTGCCCAGGCTGGGGGCCCACCTCCTAAACTTTGGCCCAAGGTCAAGGCTTTCCACAAAGCCGGAAGCAGTGAAGGTGGGGGCTCACTTATGACCAAAAAATGACCTGGGCCAGAGCTGACCCTGTGTTCGGAGAGAAGAGGGATGAGGAAAGGCCTATTCTCAGGGGCTCTGGCAGACCATGTGCCTGGAGAGAAACACATTCCACAGGGAATGGCCTGCTTCTCAAGGAGACAAAGTGCTTATGTTGGAAGGGGTCCTGACATATTACATTTGTGTATCCCGCTCTTTTTGCAGATGGGGAAACTGAGGCCTAGGGATGGGAAGGGACTTGGCCAAAGTCACACAAGGCCAACCATGGGTGATCTTCCTAGGCACGGGCATCTGTGGAAGGTCTGGAAGGGCAGTGAGGCCTAGGCAGGCATTCTCTTCCCTCCTCCACTGTGGGAATCTGGGCCTGTTCATCCACGCCACGGCCGTCAAATGCACAGCCTTGTTTCCCCTTTTCCCAAGCTCTGGACTCACCAGGTTCTCTCTTCCCACTACGTCCTTATCAATGCCCATTCTCTCTGCTTACTCTTCACTGAATTCCTTTTCATCCTTCCCGGAACATGCAGCTAAGCCCTTCTTCTCTATCTGGGTGACTTCTAACCAGGGACTCACCCATACTCCTCGGAGAGCTAACCCACCCTGCTGACATCTCCTGTTTACCTGTGTCTCTCCAACCAGACTGTGAGTCCCTGAGGGCAGGGATGGGCCCTGGGTCAGGACCAACAGACAGGTCCTCAATAGTTCCTACGTCGGAGAGATGGAAGGTCCCTGCACTAAGTCCTGCTCATAGTGATCAGGATACCAGTGCATGCTGTGTTTTATTGAGCACTCGTTACGTGCCAGGCACTGTTCCAAGACTGAGTGTGCATGATCTTGGACCAATCTCAGAATAGCTCTTGGAGGCAGGTACTGCTACCATCTTCATCATCATGATGAGGAAACTGAGTGTCAAACAAGTAGTAAGTTCCAGGACACATTACTAGCAAGCCACGGTCCTTCTGTTTCTCCCTGAGCACTGAAACAGCCCTCTGTGGTGAAAACCAGGAACGGGAACCTGGAATCCAAGCCTGTGTTCTGCTCCAGACTTGCTGTGTGATCTTGGGCAGGTCATTTCCCCTGGGGGCCCATGTTTTCCTCAAGTAAACTGGGGGGTTTGGGGGCATTTAGGGGCCTGTGTGTCTAAAGCAGCCATGTGGTCGGGAGGCTGAGAAGCCAGTTCAAGGATGTGAATGTGGATTCTAGCACGGTCCTAAGAACTGTCCTCAGTTGAGCTCCTTGAGGGTTGGGCCTGAGTCCTGAGTCCTCTCAGTGCCCAGCACACAGAGAGCCTTTTGGTCTATGTGGGCTGAACTGAGTTATAACTGTGGAATCTGTCTGGATGGACACAGGCCTGTCCTCCTTCCTCCCCCTGACCCTACCCACCTTTTTCTGTTCTGGTTTCTGTTTCCTACACTCCCTGCAGTAGAAAACAGCCACCACAACAAACCTGAGGTCAGAGCATTTTGGAATCCCCATGGTGGACAAAGCCAAAGGAAGTGGATACTCTGGTCTCCCCAAGGAAACATTTTTCCAATGAGCAACATCGTTCCCTGGACAGGCCATGGAGGACAAGGTCAAGGGTCTTTCCCCTGAGAATTCTACTGTGAGGATTTTCACAAAACATGTCATACAATTTTTATGTTCTCACCACAGAGGTGGCTGAAGAAAACAGTATTTTTGGATCTCTTCTGTCTTTTTTTACCTGACTGGGAAAAAATACCTTTTATCTTCCTGGTAGCAAGCTCCCCTTCTCCCTTAACCTCACTGTAAACCCAAAAGCAAGGGGAACAACTTTGCAATGTTTCTGAGAGAAAAAACAATTTGAAAAGTCATCTTTTTTTCCCCCTTGGAACATTTTGAGAAGTTGTTTACTTGTTTTTTAAAGTCCAAACCCACTAATTTTGCTTTAAAAAAAAAAATGTAAGAGGTCTTTCATCCCTGACCCTCTGAATGTCTGGAGGCAGGGCGTCTGGGCCCACGAGTACTGTCTTTTGTTTCCTCAGAACAAATGTTGAGAAAACTCAAATAGGCAGGAGCTCTCAGGGCAGAGAGAATGCTAAACTCATGGGAGGGAGGGGAAGGGGAGTCAAGGAGCTCTTCCTCCATGATTGTTGTCCCCTCTCTGGATGGAAGCTCTAGATGGAAGGTGTCCCTGCCGCCATGGCCGCTGCTGGATCCCCACCACCCTGCTTGGAGCCTGGCGCCCCGTGCAGGGGCTCATTAGCGAAGGACGGATAACTCCGTGTGTGCCACAGCTGAGCTCATGTCTGCTGGTCCCTGTGAGGAGATGCCGACACAGGAGGGCCCTGAGGGGTCTCAGGAGATGCAACGCCTCAGGCAGAGGGCCCTTGGTCCAACCCGGTCCCAAACCCCCAGGGCTTGCTCAGGAGGGCGGGAACTCGTGCTTCCAGGAGGCAGCCTGGCTTTGGCTCAGAAGCAAGCATGCGTGCCAGGAGTGCTCCTGGCCCCTCCGATACCACCTCCGAGAAGGGGTTCCTGAGGCGGGTGGTGGTTTCAGCTATGGTGGCTGCCAGAGGCAAAGTGGTTCCCAGACTTGAGAGGAGATCTGTTTTCCAGAGCAGAACAGAAGCTGCAAATACAGGACAGCCCATCCTGGGAGTTTTCTGGCCTCTCTGGGGGGCGGGCAGAGGGACCGTGTCCATCCAAGGGTGGCCCTTGCCCGGGCAGGGTGCCGATCCCTTCCTGGTGTGGCTGGCAGAAAGCATCAGGGCTCCTGACCATGGAATCACCTGGCTCTGCCGTGCTGTGGGTCCCAGAGAGCGGTGCAGGCACGTGGGCCTGCAGGACGGGCTGGCTCCTGTGGTCGCCCAGCCATGTGCTTGCCATTAGCTGCCCACAAGCCGGGGCGGGGCCGGGGGGGAGGCCGCAGGGCTCTCCCTCACGTGTCCTGGCCTTGTGTCAGCACCACCCATCCCCTGCGGTTTGAGAAGGCCATGGAAGGGGACCCCTGCAAGGGGTCATGGGGGTGTGGCCTCGGAGATGTGCAGCTGGGGAGAGAAGGGACAACTCTGAGGCCAGAGGGGCATTTTCAGGGAAAAGCAGTGAAGAACCAGAGCTGTGTTTGTGAGTGTGTGTGTGTGTGTGTGTGTGTGTGCTGGGAGGGGGGGTGGGCAGAGCAGGGGAGAGAGGTTGGGGTGCAGAGGAGGACGGTGGGACCAGGAAGGATGGTGGGGGGCAGTCCTGGAGGAGAGAGGGGGATGGTGGGATTAGGAAAAGCACAGAAGGGAGCTGTGGGGGGAGGGGAGACTGTAGGACCAGGAAAGGACAGGGGGAGTCCTAGAGGAGACAGGGGGACTGTGGGATGGTCTGGGGGAAGCACAGACAGGAAGTCAGCGGGGGAAGGAGAATGTGGGATTAGAGGTACACGGGTAGGCGACCCTCCTGGAGGACGGCAGGCGGCTGTGGGGCTGGGTGAGGCATGCAGGGGGGTGTGGAGAGATTCTCTCTTACAATTCTACTGCTCTTCATCATCCCTTCCATTCACACCCCAGCAGTGCTCTGTCCCCTGTGTTCGGTGCCCTCCATGACTTGTTCGTCATCCTCCTTCCTCACCAGCCTGCACACCCCATGCCTGTCTGGGTCACAGCTCTGTCCCCAGAGCCACACCCATGCCTAGCCCTGGGGAGCCCCTAAGCACAAGTGTGCTGAAGGGACAGAGGACGGAATTTCTGCGTGGGTAGGGAAACGTGCCCTGTTTACACACTTGGACGCAGGAAATTTCAGAGGCCCAATGGCCCACAGTCTTGCTGCCTCGTGGCCTGCTGCGCTCCCTCTCCCCTTAGGCCCAGGGGTCATCAAACTTCATGTCTGGAGCTCAGAGGCTTGAGATGCGGCCGAGAGTGGGGATGGGGAGATGCGTGAGGCCGGTGGGTGAGAAGCCGCTGCTAGTCAGCCGCATGTGTCCGGACCCCCAGGGCTAAGGACAGAGCAGACCACGCTGGAGACCGCACGTGGATTCTGTCCCTCTGGCATGCCTGCCCTCACCTCAATGATGTAATCTCTGCCGTCCTTGCTGTGGACGGCCTTGACGGCGCAGATGTCCAGGCCGCCAAACATTTCTGAGCAGCTGTCCACCCACAGCCTGTACCTGCAGGATGGATAGACAGACAGTGAACATCGGGGGAGGGAGCAGGAAGCGGGAGCAGAGGGAGAGAGACAGGTAGAGACAGACAGAGAGACACAGATGCATGGATAAACAGGCCACAGGACAGAGTGACGTGCGCATGTGTTCAGAGACGGACAGGTGAAATAACAAGAGACCGAGATACAGCAAGAAAGACAGAAGGGAGACGGAGAGGCAGCGGGAGGGACAGAATGGCGTACAAACAAAGCAGAGACACAGATGGACAGAGAGAGAGACAGAGAAAGGAGGGGGACTAGAAAGGGAGCCAGGAAGCAAGAGAGAAAGAGGAAGGATGAGGGGGAGAAGGAATGAGAGGTGGGAGAGGTCTCAAGACCCAGCCCCTGTCCCCTCTGGACCCGGCTGGCTCGGTAGCAGTGGGGAGCTTGTCCCCACCCGGAGACATCCTGGACACCCGGCCACTCCCGAGATCTTTTTCCCTTGGGAAAGCTGCTTGAAGGGCTCCGAAATCCCTCCCAGGCCGCCCTATGAGCCCCAGCGACCATGCTCCATGAGAGCCGGCAGGGGACAAAGGGTGCATTCTGCCCTGAGCCTGGGGCGGGCAGGCAGGGGAGCCTGGCAGGCTGCTCTCCCGGCCGGGGCCTGGCCCTCTGGACCCAGTGCTTTTGTTCCCTTTCCAGCCACTCGAGGGCTGCAAGGTCAGTTTGTTTTGCAGGGAAAGATCTCAATGCTGGACTCTGACCCTGCAACAAGGGGATGGTTGTATCTGGAGAAGTCTTCCCCGGCGTACACTTGGCTTCCCTTGTGGTGGCTGGATTTGGAAGTCACAGGGGACTTTGTGTCAATATTCTTGCTTCTCTCCTCATTCTCCAGGGTCACATGGGGCACGCCTGCTCTGAGATCTATTTGTGTCTCTGAGCCATAAAGCCTGGAATGAGGAGAGATCATGGCCGGAGGGTTCTTAGAACCAACTCTCTCATCCTCATGGCCAAGTCCGACTGAGGGCCATAGAGGCAGAGAGGCAGAGTGGCTTGGCCAGGTCACACAGCAGGATGGTCATAGAGCCAGGATTACACAGATCTCCGGGCTCTTTGCTCAGTTCTTTCATTCAGCTGTAGAAAGCAGCATGTCAGATTACAGAAGGAAAAGGATGAAAACTCATACCTTTTCACCTCCTGATGGGTACCAGGCTGTCTGTGCGGGCTGACCATTCTCTAACCCCCACCACAACTCTGTCAGGAAGGTTGAACCCATCTTTCTGAGGGGACACTGAGGCTCAGAGAGCTTAGTCAGCCACGTGCTGGCTTCCAAACCTAGATTGTGTCTGATTCCACAATCCAAACAAGCCACCCTTCCTCCCAGTCGGGACACAATGCAGCCTGTTCTCTCTCAGCAGGGCAGACCAGTGACCTGGAGGCTTGCTGGTCATTTCCTCAATAATTTTGGGTAAGCGTCTTCTTCTTGCAGCCTCAGTTTCCTTATCTGAAAAATGGGAAGGCCTAGGTATGATTCTCATTGTGCATCAGCATCACCAGGAGAGTCGAGCAAACACACACAGAGTAAACATTCAGCTCTGGGGGCCCTGCCCTATGTTAGAACACTCTCTCCATGCTTTTAAAGCTTCTCATTGGATTCTTACGGCAGCCACAGTTGAGGATGACCTTTGGTCCTCAGAGCTCTAAGAGCCCCCCGGGCTCTCTGACCAGGGTCCCCGTATTTGGCTGTAGTGGCTGAAAGGTGAGGCACCTTCAGTTTAAGGAGACCTGTGCCCTGAGACGCCTTCCTAAATCAAGTTTCTTCTCCATGGAAGATGGAAGTCTGGACCAAGACCCAGAGAAAACTGGTTTCTAAGAGGCTGTTTTCCAACGATGAATTTCCAGAATACCTACCAGTTGCACCCCATGGGGCACAGACCCCCCCCTTCCCTGGGCCAAGGAAAGGGATTTATGGGTGGGGCAGTGTGGGAGAGACTGAAGACCATGGGTCCACGCTCCCCTCCAGCTGGGTGGGACGAGCACCAACCAAGCCACATTGCTGGTTTTGCCAAGGAGTCAGGCTACTCGGCAAACAGGCCAGGTGAAGAGAGGAGCCAGGGCCTGTTGATGGGCCCCCAGAGATTTCCCCCATGGAGGTGGGATTGGGGAGCTCTGACCCAGCCTTTGGGAGTACTGCCCATGATCTACAGAAGGGAAAGTGAGTCCTAGGCCCAAGTGGACCCGGGCTTGGGGTAGGCTCTTGCAGGCCCACATGGTCGGGAACTGGGCAGAGCTGGGGATATGGTGGTCTGTTGGGGCCATTTGTGAGCATCTCATCAGGCATCTCAGAAGGCTGGGCTCACATTCTGGAAAGCCCATGGGGAAAAGGACCATGATGTCCTGTGGATGCTCAGTGGGGGAAGGAAATGACTGCCTCCAACCAGGTGATTCGGGTCATGAGCACACCCCTCCCTGAGACCAGACGGCATAAGTGGGCCCCCAGAGTGAGGGCCTCAGCTGCCCCCGGGGGCTGACGGGAAGGAAAGGCAGCCCCTCCTACGATGACTGCTACTGGGTGAGCTCCTGAACCTTCCTCTCCCGATCAGGCACTCTGGCTGATCACCTCCAATTAACGGCTGCAGCAGTTCACAGAGGTTAGTTAACTTGCCCCAGGTAACCCGGCCTGGAAAGGACAGGACCACTCACTTTCACTCACCTTCAGCTTCTTTGAGCCCCTGAGCCATCAGTTCCAGGAAGGGAGACAATATGTCTGTCTTGTTTGCCACCGTTTCCCTAGTGCTTCCCTCAACATCTGGCTCCCAGCTCATGCTCAACAAATGACAGACAAGGAAATGAAGGAAAGCCTCCCAACTCCTACTCATTCTTTACAAGGGGACTGCGGCACCGCCTCCTTCAGGAAGACTTCCCTGACTTCACCCCTCCATAGTCTGCGTTGGGTACCCCTTTCCTGTGTGCCCTCTGCAAGCACCCACACCCCACTGCCACCCCCACATACCACACTCCATCTGCTACGTTGGCCGAGGAGCCCGGAGTGGACCTCTGTAATTTTAGTCTGCACAACATTGATGTCGCGTGGCGTCATAGCCCTCCCTGTCTCCCTTGGTCATGGCCGCCACAGTGACTGGTCCCACAGCAGTCTCCAGAGGTGGAAACGTGATGTGGGATTGGGCAGTCGCGCAGGTGCCACTTCCGGGCCATAGTGATTGGCTCAGGGATGGTCATGTGACCCAGGGCAGGCCAATCCATAAAGAAGGCTCACTTCCAGGTTTTGGTTGAGATGGCTAGGAAAGAGTTTTGTCCTGCCGGGCTTAACAGCGTCAGGATGGAAACCTGAGCCACTGTGAGCTACCAGATGAACACAGTGACGCCGACGCAGAAGAAAGCTGAACTCAGGAGTGTGTGGATGAGCCCTAAGCTCTTACTTAGAGCTGTACCTCTGGCATTTTCATTGCTACAAGCCAACCAACCCCCCCTCTTGTCTCTGACCAATGAGATTTGTGTTCTGACGCATGCAGTGGACACAGAATCTCTGAAGGGAAGGGCTGGATCTTTTCATCTTGACTCCTTTGGTACATGGCACAACACAGCATGTAGTAGGCACTCAACGAATGTTCACTCAACAGATCTTTCTGACCCCAAAGCCCACACTCTATCCATTCTCATTGCATGCCTGCACGCAGAGGTCATGGGGCCTGCAGGAAAGAACGTGTGTGTGCTGCTGGCCCCGGAAGCAGGTGACTGGCCCTCCTTCAAGTGAAGAGAGTTCCCAGCAGTGCTTAAAGACAGAAAGACCTAAGGAACCTTCAGACAAAGTGCACATACTACATTCATGATTCAGTGGAAATAACCTCTTCCTCCTGACACTGAGCTGAAAAAAGAAATCTGAGAGAGGAATGAACATTCCAGGGCCCTGGTGCCCTAATAAGGATGGCTTTTGTGTACCTGTCAGAGCACAGAGGGGACTGGGAAGAACTCCCTGCTCTCTCTGCAGTAGCTGTGCAGGGCTGGAAAGACCCCTGGACCTGGAGTTAAGACATCAGGGATCTACTCTCAGCTCTGTCATTGTTCAGCTCTGTGACCCCGGACAAGTCACTTTCCCTCTCTGAACTTGCCTCTGCCCCCTGTAAGGTGGGATTATAATACCATCTACACTGTAGGGGGTGGTGCAATAAACGGTTGCCGTGTCTAGGAAAGTGCTCGGTGGGTAGTGAGGCCCTGGCCAAAGAGTGAGGTGGCATTCCTTATGGGTCTCTTGTATCCCTCCCCCACCTCCTGCTGGGGCTGCTGCTGTGCCCTATTACACCTCCTCTGTCTCTTACCTCTCTGTCATGGCCACCTGCTCCAGCATGGCAGAGCCTGTGTTGGCCTTCCAGTTTCCAGAGATGGAGGTTCTCCTGTATCAGAAAAATTAACACCAAGGGCATTAGGACCTCTGTCGCTGCTCTGCTTTTCTTCTTTGCTTTGGCTGTTAGGAGGCTCCAATTCAAATATCTGGCTCACATTCTGGCATGTATTGGTAGAAACACATCTTGCCCCCAGCTTTATTTGCCTGTTTTTATTTTCCTTTAGGCTGATTGTCGCATTGACTTGTTTGATCTTATGTATCTTTTTCTAGGCCACCTTTGAAGTCCAAATACGATTATTTTTTCATTTAAATTCAATTAGCCAACATATAGTACCTCATTAGTTTCAGATGTAGAATTCAGTGGTTCATCAGTTGCATATAATACCCAGTTCTCATCACATCATGTCCTCCTTAATGCTTGTCAAGCAGTTACCCATCCCCCCACCCACCTCCCTTCCAGCAGCCCTCAGTTTGTTTCCTAGAGTTAGGAGTCTCTCATAGTTTGTTTCCCCTCTCTGATTTCTTACCATTCTGTTTTCCCTCCCTTTCCCTATGGTCCTCTGTGCTGTTTCTTACATTCCACATATGAGTGAAACCATATGATAATTGTCTTTCTCTGATTGACTTATTTTGCTCAGCATAATACCCACCAGTCCCATCCATGTCGATGTAAATGGTAGGTATTCATCCTTTCTGATGGCTGAGTAGTATTCCATTGTGTACATATACCACATCTTCCTTATGCATTCCTCTGTCAATGGACATCTTGGCTCCTTCCACAATTTGGCTATTGTGGACATCGCTGCTATAAACATTCAAGTGCAGGTGCTTCTAAAGATTAAATTTAAAAAATGTCTACGCCATCAGATGAAATCCTCCAAACCTTGGCCTCTTGTTTTTGAAAAGGAGACCTAGGGTAGTAGAGCCATTAGTGATTCTGGAATTTCTTGAGGACTCCAAAATGTAGGAAAAATGATCCATGGAGAGAAGAGATCACTTTTTCATGGTGAAAGGCAGGAAGGCCTTCTGGCTTCAACACCCCCTCTGTTCCTATGTCTTTTCTGCTCCAGCAACACCAACCTCCTTTGCGGTGCTCCAATGCCAGGGCTTTTTCCTAGGTCAAGACTTCCCTTTGCCCCATCCAGTCTTTGTCTCCATCTTTGCCTACCCACCCTTTGCATTTCATATGAGATGTGACTTCCCAACAGTCCATTCCCCCAACAAGAGTAGATGCCCCCAAACCAATGTTTAGTCTTGCTAATCTCACTTGGAATGACCGCTTTAGTGTCCAGTCTTCTCCAAGGGCAGGCAACATGTCTGACTCATCCCTTGCCCCCCGCAGTGTCCAGAGGGACCTGGTATGTAGAAGGTACCCAGTAAATAACTCCTGGGTAAGGGACTGTGTATACTGGGGAAAATCAAGACAAATGATCTCCAGTGGTATATTTGGACTCAGCAAAGACTGAATGAGTGTAAGCAGAGTGGTGCAGGTAAAGCTTTTTGTTTCATGGCCAAGGGAAGGCATGTGCTTGAGATTAAAGGGTAAAGTGGGAGGAGGAATTTTCACACAAATATATCCTTCTAAAACAGAAAAGAAGGTATATCTGAAGACAAAAGATGCTGAGAATTGCTGATGGCCAACAGGGGCTAGAATTGTCAAGGGGTGCAGTGATATTGATAAGCGCTATGTCCTTTCAGTTCAGCCCAACTCAGCTCAATTCAATTCAGCAAACACTCACTGGGACACTCTGTGTCCTGGGTACTAGGTTTGTCTTGGTAACCCATCCTAAGGCTGCTCACTACCTGGAATTGTGGACCGGAGTAGAGGCACAGTAAGGTTAGCAACATACCCGAGTAGTGAAAAGTTTGGGGAAAGCAAAGGAGAAACCAGAGTCAATCAACATGACCCCCAGAAAGTAACCACTGAATGTGTCTGGAAGGGTGGTAACGTTGATATAGTGGGATCTGCATGGCGGCAAGAGAAGGGAAGAACTGACTTGAGTCAGACAGATGCAAGGTTGAATCTTGGTTCCAGCATTTTCTGGCTGTATAACTATGGACACCATCTCTGAGTCCTTATTTTTTCCATTGGTAAAATGGGAATGATCTCCATCCTTATATATTACGTGGACTAAAAGAAATAGTCCTACAAAAGTCTTAGTCCAATTATTTATCAGTCAGTGGAGACAAGAAAAGAAGGCATCACAATGCCAGAAGCAGCAGAAACACAAGCTGGATTGCTCTCCTGCCAAGAAAACAGTAATAGCGAGAGTTGCTATTCGATGGGCGCATTCTCTCTCTGAGAACATGGGTCTAAGGGTTCCATGAACACTGGCACGTTCAGGCTCATAGAACCTAATGAGACAGATATTACCATTATTACCATTTCTACTGAGTGGCAGAAACCACCAGTCTGTATCTGAGAAACTCCATGCTCTTAACCATGACTCTTTACGGCAGAGCCCATCACAGCTGGGGGAAAAGACTCACTTGACTGAAATGTGATGCAGCTGCTAGAATGTAGAACAGTATGTAGACTGTGCCAGAAGAGTTGACCTATATTGCAAATGCATGATGTCGACCTCCTTGCTGAAGAGGGTGGGGGTGGGTGGTAAGGTGTGGACCCAAATAATCTTGGACGAGAGTGGAGGGGAGCTGTACCTGAGCACCGCCCTGGAGTGGGTAAAGCTCTTTCCCATGGGGCTCCACATTCATGGTTCTGCACTTGGACTGGGACTGAACTGAAGTAAATGGATGGCGGCTGGTAGGAGCCAGGATTTTCCCTGTTAGAGTGGGAAGTTTTAGATAAGCAATCTGGGAAGGCCGAAATGAATCATGTGGTACTAGAGGAAAGTCGGAGACATCAATATGAACTCTCTTTAGTTCTAGATAGAGCTGGAAATATATAGAAATAATTACAGATATGTGTGCACGCATGGGTTAAGGTACATCCATGAATTTCTGAGCTCCATCTGCTGAGGCCCGAGTCACAATGACCTCCCAGTAGCAACAGCACAGAGGTCTGAGTGCAGGGCAGGAAGTGGGCCAGAAAGGAGTTTGAATGGGCAGAGAGGATGCTCTACACTGAGGTCTGACATGAACCCCCCTCCCTCGGACAGGGGCCAACCCAGGGTCCAGGAAAAGCCATAACTAATGACAAGCTAGAGCTGCCAGGGCACAAAGGCTCAGTATAAAGAATGCAGCAATGAGCTAATCTTCAAGAAGAAAAACTGGGACAAGGTGTCGTCAATGTCAAGTGGAAACGTGAACAATGAGGAGAGGAGGGAAATGATATCATGACGGATGGTGGAGATCTCAGGAATGCACTGGACTGCTGCACGGGAATGTTCCCCAACCCAGAGGGGGCAGGGAAGAGCCGACCTTATCACCCCGAGGGCATCTGAGAGCAGTGACAGGTCTGGCCTGGTTCATGGGTGCCAGTGAGTAATTGGCAAGATAGGGCAGAAGTCTTCCTTGAGAACTGGCTCTGTCCCTTTCCTGGGAATCTTTCCTTAGAGGTAAGGCTAAAGAAAGTCTGCCTTTCAACTTCAAGGAAAGGGTCTGCCTCTTCTCTGGCTCCCCAGGCAATGGCAGAGTGGAGTAGCTGCAGTGAAGACTGTGGGACCCACTAAGCCTAAAAGGGCCATCTGGCCCTTTATGGAAAAAGTCTGCTGAGGCCCAGTCTAGGCAATCCAGGTAGTGCAGAAGCAACCTGAGATAATGCACGAATAGATGTGTCTGGCTGTGGTCAATACAACTTTATTTACAGAAACAGGTGGAAGCTGGATTTTAGCTGGTGGGTAGTGGTTTGCTGACCCTGACCTAGAGCGAAAGCTCCAGAGTGCAAAAGCCTGCAGAGAGATTTCCAAAGGTCCCCAGCCTGCCCTGGCAGACCTCAGATGGGGAGCTGTGCACACGGCCAGGGCTCCAGGAACGCTTGGCAACTGGGCTCTGATTAGCTCTCTGAGGTCTTGTCATTTCAAGGAGAACCAACAATAACATTCCAAAATGAGACACAGAAAGGCCTTGGAGCAGATAAGACCTCCCACCTTTTCAAGAAGTCTCATTCTCACGACCACAACAGCTTGAGCATGAGTCATCCTCTGCCAGAACCACCTCTGGGCTGAATGTGTGTTGGCTTTTCTGGCATTCATTCCCCTTCCCTTTGTCACAGCACCTCTACTCCCACTGGGGACTGACCCCGCCCAGATTGTGTATCATCTTGGTGGGACTCTCCATACTGGTCTTCTGCCCTTCTCTAACCGGTAAGCCTGTGATCCAAGTTGGATTAATCAGCACTGTTTCCACGGAATCACAACCTTGAGTTAAGCACTGAAAATGACTCAGGCAGATTCACTTTCCAATGGGGGTGCCATGAAAATTGTCTGTTGCTCAGGCCACGCAGATTCCTGCAGCTGCCTTGGATCGTAATACTTCTGAAATTGACAGTTGAGTGGTTTGTTTTGTTTTTAGGGTTTCTGATCATTCATGGCTTTCTAATAAATTCCCTTTCCAAACTCCATCAAAGTAGTCAGGTGTGGTTTCTATTGCTTGCAGCCAGAGAAATCTGATGTCATCTCCTGATTGGTCGTCTTAGTTCCAGGGAAACCCCTCTGCAGCCCATGGTCCCAGAGCCAGCTTTTTATAAATGCAGGTCAGATCATACCACTTCTCTGCTCAGAAAAAAATGGAATAGAACCCAAAGCGCTCAGCAAGGCATTCAAGGCCCTCCTTCACTTGCCCCCAAGTTTCTCTTTCAGTCTGGTCTCTTATGATATACATCTCATAGATACTTGAAGTCCCCCTCAAACATGCCAAGTAGCTTTCTTCTTCTGGGAGAAGCAGATCTCTTTGTGTAGACAGATTTCTACCCCATGATAAGGTTGAGAAAGCATCAGGACTTAGCCATACTGACCAGAAAAGGGCAGTGAGTGGACATAAAGGGAGAATAATGAGGTGCTAAAGGGTCTCTATCCTGTGGTGGAGGAGACAGGGCTGGACCAGCATCTGTAATCTCTGTTCCTCCTATGTCCTCCTCCCTCCCTCCCAGCAACCCAGCGCCTGCCCAAAGACTCACATGTAAGCTTTGTAGTTGGATCCAATTTTCTGGATGCGGATGTCATACTTGGAGTCAATGAAGGCCTCAGTGGTGGCATAGGTTTTGGCCATAGCCACCATGCTGGTGATGTCCTGGTAGTCATGCTGGTTTTCTACTTTGATCTGTTTGGAAAGATCAGGGGTGAGTGCCAGCCTGCCAGTGTTTTGTGTATTTAGTGACTTTGAGAAAGTCACCTGCCTAGCAGGAGAGACAGACATAAGAAACAAGTTATTCCACTACATACCGGTAGATGAGGAAGGGAACATTCCATTGGAGTTGTCGAGAGAATCTTTACAGAACAGGTGAGCTCTGAACTGGGGTTGGAAGAATAAGTATAATTTTCAGCCAGGGCGTTTCTATGGAGGGTAGAGGGGACCGGCAAAGCAGAGGGCAGAGGAACCACACAGGGATGGGGAATACACAAGTGGTTCAGACTGGCTGATGGGGCTGGAGGATGATGGATGGCTGAGGTGGGTTGTCAGGGAATAGACCTTGGGGGACCTCAATTGCTTTAGTAAGGGACTAGAATTTTAGCCTGCGGGCTCTGGAAAACCACTGGAGGAAGTGGAGGAGTTTAAACAAGAAAGTAGCCTAATTTGTGTTTTAGAAAAATCCCTCGTGCACTGGGGGTTATATGCAACTAATAAATCATTGAACACTACATCAAAAACCAATGATGTACTATATGTTGGCTAGCTGAATTAAAAAAAATCCTACAAATATTTGCATGGAGGGTTGTAAGGTAGGTTGAATGTGACATGGGGTTGGGGACAGTTGGAAAAAAAGGAGTATATATAAATGTGCGTGTGGTGTGTACGTGTTGGGTATGTGGATGTAGGTTATATGTATGTGCAGTTTATGGGGGGACAGTGTGTGATGGGGAGTCCATGTGTGTGCATAGGTGTGTTATATGTTATATATATGGTGTGTTGTATGTTGTGCTTGTGTGTACAAGCAGTGTGTGTGTGTGCATGTGCACCTATGCATATGCAATGGGCAAGGCTGGTTGTGCTCAACCCAAGGCCTGGGAGAGAAACACACTGTTTACCAGGCTGAGGCCAAGAACATGAAGTGGTGCTTTGGGGTCAAGGAGAGGTCCCAGGAGAAGTTCCAAGGCAAAATGCAGGGGATGAGGCCAAAGTTCTGTGACCGTGACCTCAAGACAGAAAAGTTGACTGCCAGCTGCTGTGGCCCACTGGGAGTGCTGCCCCCTCCCCTTTACCCTCACCTGGATAGCAGAGGAGTCTGATGCTGGACCAGAGGTGGGCAGAGCCCAGATCCCCTGGAGGTGGGGGGGTTGGCCGGTGCTGAGGAGCTTGTGTGGGAGGCTGTATGGTCCTTACAGTCCCTCCTCGCCCTCTCCTGTATCTCTCGGAGCCTCACCAGTGCCCTGACCACTCCATCCCTGCAGCAAGTTGCGCACGCCCAACCTCACAACTTCCAAAGAAGCTTCACATTTCTCTCGTGGGACACAAAACAGGATTGTGAGGTGGGCAGTGTGGGCATTATTATGGTCATTTAACTGATGCAGAAACATATTTCTTGCCTTGTCCAAGGCCATAGGGCAGCTAAGCACAGAGCTAGGAAGGAAGCTCAGGACTCCAAGAGCACAGCTGTTCTCCAAACCATCTTCAGGGTATCTTAAAGTGCACGCCTGCTCTTCCACCCTAACACATGGGAAACAATGATGGGGAGTGAGGCTTAGCACACCTTATCTCTGCTTGGCTCTCTCAGAGTTCCAGCCTCTCAGCAACGATGCTGAGTCCTACTTTGTGGAACAAATAAAAGCGACCAAGCAAGAGTTCCCTATTTGCCATCCCTTTCCAAGCTCACCAGCTTTCCCTCTCCTCTTCTTCTAGATGGCGGTGTGCCTCCTCCCACTCATGGCTGAACCTGCCCTTTGTTCTAGGTCTTCTAAGACTGACTGCTCACTGTCCCCTCCTCCTTCAGGAATAGGACCCTTAAGTTTTATCTGGGCATCTAGTCTCTCAGCTAAAGAGGGCTTTTTCCAGTCTCCCTCCTAGATAGACGCAGCCAAGTCTCGGAATCTGGTCAGTGAACACAGGAGTGGATGCGCTATGAGCAACCTCAGGGTGGTGCCTTTACCGCAAAGGGAATCTTCCCAGTCAGTCTCTTTTCCCTCTTCCTTGGCTGGGATCTCAGACCAGCGGATGGAAGCCACATGCTGAGGACAGCTGAGTAATAAGGTCAATGGAACCTGGATTCCCAACACCATGGAGTCCCCAATCTACCCTTGACTGTGCATGTTCAGACTCTTACATGAGAAAGAAATGGACTTTAATCTTGTTTAAGTCACTGGTATTTGGTTCTCATTAAACCATTCAAACTAGATTTCAGCCTTGTATTTTTTGTCTTTTGCTCTCTGTTGATCCTTTATCTTTTGGGTCAACATGATCATGCGTCCTCCATTCTCCTCAAATTGTTTCTGCTCTTCAGTACCCCAGGTACTCCCTGCTCTGTCTCTATCTCCTCACTTTCCACTCATCCCCAAACCCACCATCTTTGGATGTCGCTCCCCACTACTCCACTGAAACTGATTTGGCAAAGGTCACCTGTCACCTCCTCACTGGCAAATCTGATAGTGTTCTTTTGCTCGGCATCCTGTATGGCATTCCGTGACATCTGAAATTGCTGAGCTTTTTGAAACTCGGTTTCTACACCACCGCTCTCTTCTGGTTCTCTTTTTTCCTGCCAACTTCTTTACTTTATCGCCTCCCCTTCCTCCAACTTCCCCTCTAATGATCAGAGCGTTTCATCTTCAGCCAACATTTGGGGTCTTGTGGAGAGAGTTAGAGTCACCACAATGAAAGAATGGGTGGTGGTGTGGGGGAAGCTTGCAAGGACAGCTTGTCTAATTCAGTTTTGTCCCTGGGTGGCTCTGGAAAGGACCAGAACTTCTTCCTAGACAGCATAGCATACATGGCCAGATGTCTTGGACACTTTGAGCTGCCCACAACGTCCATTCTCTTCTATGGTCATGAAGCACCCTGATCTGGGGGCACACGACCTCCCACAGAGTAAATATCACACTTCCCTATCTCCCGGGCCCCTGTGTGTGACCATGTGACCATGTTTTCGTCTTCTGCGAGCAGAAATGGAGTCCTAACTTCCAGGCTTACTATTAAAGGGAAGGGGGGGGGGCGGTTTGCTCTTCCTGCTAGTTGGAGTGTGGACCATCTTTGACATTGTGGCTGAGGAGCAACACCCCAGGTATGCATGATCAACAAGATGGAAGGAGCCTGGGCCCTTAAAACCAAGGAAGTTCCATGCGAGCCCTGGGCTGCTTTCACCCAGACCATTGTGTGTGAGAGAAAGTTCTGGCTTATTTAAGCCATCTTAGGTCTCTTGTTACACAGCTGAACTTTGTCCCAGTTATTACAGGAGCCCTAAGTAAATATTTGTTGAATGCATCACACATGCATTCGTCTCTTCACAGGAAAGACAAAAGAGAGCAAAGAGAGACAGTGTAAACATAGGAGTTTAATGAATTAATTAGTTAACTAATTAGTGGTTAGCCCAACATCTCCTTGTGCACCTTTTCTGGGTGGTTTGGGGCTGCGGTGCTCACCCTGCCCTCTCCTCGAGTGAGGATATAATCCTGGTTTCTTGTATACAGACTCTTCTAAAACCCCAGGACAAGCCCTGGCTTACGTCCCTGGCAATTTTAAGTTCTTTTCCTTACAGAGGGCCTTCAAACTGTGCATCCCTGGGCCCCGTAAAGCGTAGCTCCACTGATGTCTTCCTCCCATTAGATGGTCAGCTTCTCAAGGATAGACAATGAGTCTCCCCCACAAGTCATAACACAGGTGTCTGGCACAGATGCATCCAATGTGTTTGCTGGATTGAATTTAAGAAGACTGGATAAAGATCCACTCATAACACGGGAAGGGGCAGGGAAATGGGAGGAAGAATATGGGAGTTTGGGAAAAGGCAAAGAAAACACGTGTCCCCAAAACTAGTTTTTTCACAACGTGAATTTTTCTGTAACTGCTTGGACTGGATTCTACCTTCTTGGAGGTTTCTTTCCATTGTGAGAACCCGATCAAATAAGAAACTGTGGGGAAGTGGGAAGGGGGCCTGGGGCCGGGTGTGGTGGGTCCTGGAGGGGACTCTGGCATGGTCCTCAGGCAAAAGGATAGGCCGGGGTCAGGGGGCACTAAGGCCGGGCAGCCGCAGGGATGAAGTGGCTGCTGGCCTGGAGAGAGAGTCTTGGCACTCTGCTTTATTTACTAGCTGGAAAACCCTCCAAATGTTCACAGAGACAAGCTAAAAACAGGAAGCCCTAAATGAACTGTGATTTAAGATTACCCATTTGCTGCTCTGGGGACCTGCAGTGGGGTCACCACAGACTCCCTGACTCTGAATTCTCCCTCCATGTCTCTGCCTCCCTCTCCCCTCCTCTCCCTTACCTGTCTCTTCTTTCCCTCTTTCTCTGCCATGCTTGTCTTCTCTCCCTGTACCCTACACTGTTCTACCTGCTCTTGTGTGTTTGCGTGCATGGGTGTGGTTCGTCCTGAGGGGGAGCCTGGTGGGGGGCATGGAGACAGAGAGGGCAGAAAGGGAGAGAAGCAGGAGAGAGGGGTCAGGGTACAGTTCTGAATCTCCTTAATGGGATTCACCTCAGAGGTCTCCTATTCCTGAGATGGGGGAGTCCTCTTCTTCTTTGGTAGATTGTCTGCATTTGCTTAAACACCTCTGAGAACAGGGGGCTCACTACTGGGCAAGGAAGTTAATTTCCCCTTGGAGAGCTTCTGTCATACATTACGCCCAGAATGAATGACTGGTCCCAGTTATTGATCAGGAAGGGGAATTCTCAGCCCTCAGCCTTGTGTCTACTCTTCGCATCCTTGAGGAGAGTCAGCCAGGTATGCCCAAGTCATTCTCTTCTTTAACCCACCCTAACACGAGCGGGTTTCAGACCCTCTACTACCTTGAAATGCTCTCATCTGACAATCTCCTAAACTATGTGGTGTCCGGAATCATACCCAACTCCAGATGTGGTTTCACCAGCTGAGACTGGAGAAGACTGTCACCTCCCCCTACGTGTAATACATCTGGCAGATGTACATCGGTCAGACTCCTGCCCCAGAGCCTTTGTACT